CTTTAGCAGAGACTCAGTCAAAACATACATGATAGCTACTAAACACAAAAAGATATTTTCTTTAGCTATTTGATAAAAGTGAATATAACCCGCAATATTCGAGTCAAATATGAATATCAGCGGAACTTAATCTATAGGACTGAATGTAACATAAAACCGGATGAAGAGGAATGTTATTCAAAACATAACAATGTCATAAAACAGGTCAATACAAGCCCCATATTTTGAACATAAATAATGCCACAATACTTAAATATTTATTCTTTGATATACTGAATTGTATGATGTTCTTGGGGGGAAAATAATTGAATCGCAATGAGTCAATATATTGAACTTTTACTTCAGGATTTATAGTTAAAGGTGTATTTTAAAGTTGAGGTAATTCCTGCCTAATTCATTGACATTTTGACGGGGTGTGGATTCAGTGACATTTTGACGGGGTGTGGATTCAGTGACATTTTGACGGGGTGTGGATTCAGTGACATTTTGACGGGGTGTGGATTCACATGGCGGGTGATGCATGTATAGCAGGAAATCGAGTGGCGATATTTCAAATTCGGTAGATTGTTGTCGACTTACTTTAGACAAAATAATCCTAGTATGATTTATTTTAAATTGTTTAGTTCACAGTGACATAACAGACAATACAAGCGTATACTGGTCCTTTGGAAACGGTGAGCAACATACTAAGATCTACATCAGATTCTCATGTAGATAACAGCAGTTTAACAATGTTGAAATAGGTTTTTTTGTGCACGGAGTATACCCCTACTAATGAAGAATGATTCAAATTTACTTCAAAGTTAGCTTAGCATAATGATACCATGTTTTCTCTGTGTCATATTCATAAACATTATTGGTTTATTTTTATATCCGGGAAATAAGGGCCATCATGGTTTAATACATTTGTTTATCAAATTAAGGAGTACCATTATGGTTGGGTATTTTTATATCTCGTTAAGTTGGAGCACCTGATTCGTTATTGTTTTATGCCGGCCGAATTGGCAGCACCTGATTTTTATATTTTTTTATCTCGTTAAAGGATAAACTCTGTTTTGAATTTTAATTTTGGGTTAAGATGGATCATCCATGTTTGGTATTTCCATGTCTGGTTAAGAAGGATCACCTGGTCTTGTATTTTTATGTCTGGTTAAGAAAGATCATCCTTCGTTGGTATTGTTTTATTTCGGGTTAAGGAGTATCATCCAGGTTTTGTATTGTTATGTCTGATTTAGAAGAATAGATCATCCTTGTTTGGTTTTGTTTTATATCGGGTTAAAAAGGATCATCCTTGTTTGGTATTGTTTTATATCAGGTTAAAAAGGATCATCCTTGTTTGGTATTGTTTTATATCGGGTTAAAAAGGATCATCCTTGTTTGGTTTTGTTTTATATCGGGTTAAAAAGGATCATCCTTGTTTGGTATTGTTTTATATCAGGTTAAAAAGGATCATCCTTGTTTGGTATTGTTTTATATCGGGTTAAAAAGGATCATCCTTGTTTGGTATTGTTTTATATCAGGTTAAAAAGGATCATCCTTGTTTGGTATTGTTTTATATCGGGTTAAAAAGGATCATCAGTGTTTGGTATTGTTTTATATCGGGTTAAAAAGGATCATCCTTGTTTGGTATTGTGTTTTATCGGTTTGATGAGGATCATCCTAATTTGGTATTTTTTTCATTTCGGATTAAATTGCAGCAACTGTTATGGTATTTTTATTAGGGATAAGTAGGATCATCCGGGTTTGGTATTTTTATATAGGGTTAAAAAGATCAAAATTGTTTGGTATTTTTCATCATGTAAATGAGGACAATCCACGTTTTGTATTTTTTATCGGATAAAAGAGGAAAATTGTAGTTTGGTATTTTTTTTATATCGGATAAAGAATCATCATCCTGTTTTACATATAGAGTAAAGATGGATCAACTTATGCAGTGAATCCGTTTTCTTAACATTTAAAACCAAACTCCAATCATTAAAGTATGACATTCTACATTTGTCAGATTAGGGTCACATTATTGTTTTAGAATAATATTATAATTCTATAAGGTAATATGAAAAGGCTATACATCATTTGTACATTATAGAAATATACGATACATTGCTGAAACAGGTTGCTAAACATACATTCACAACGTGATAATTTGCCCACTGAATAGGAAAATTCATCAGATATATAACTAATATAACTTCATTTATTTTTTAGCATAATGTCAAAGTTTCATTTTGTGATCGCTGTTATCCTCAGCACATACCACGTGTCTTATGCAGGACGTAAGTTATTTAAAAAATATTCATGGTGCAATAATGAATAAAGGATCTCAATTTTCAATGATTTTGAGTTGGTGGGTTTGATGACTTTTGCACAAATTATAGCTACGTATTTCATCATTTTATTTTATTCAAATGTCATGCATATTTGTGTCCTTGTACTGTTCACATATGTCCTGGTACTGGTACTGTGCCCTTTTTATTATAATATAAAGTAGCAAATATTCTCGACTGTTAAGAGAAAGTTTTATTATTGGTAGAAAAGACTTATACGATACATTTGGTAGCTGCATTATGTCAGATAAGCAAAGTCCCATTTTGAACATTTTTAATTTTTCAATTAAGAAAATATGCATATAATTGTCAGGTGCATATCCACTAAAAACCGTTAAAAATACTCTATGTGTATGCCTTGTGGTCATAATTTTTATCCAAGTATTCCGCCAAATCAACCATTCTCTTTTCTATCAGTTTATCTATGAATATTAATTAATCTGCAACATGACTACACAGTCAAAACGGGAAGGATATTTTTCTAAAACAAATGTGCTAAAGAAATATTAACATTGGAACGTATTGCCATAGGGATGATGGGTCGCAGTGAGATATAACTAGTATTATTGATTATGCAACAGGAATCCTGCAATCTGATTGGTTAATAACCTGGGTGAAAATTACAGCCCACTTTTGTTCACCCTCGGATAAAATTCGGCTAAAATTTCCAAAAAATCAAAATGTATGTACAACAATTTTATTCAGTAAAAAAAATCAAAATGCAAAAATTACAAACAAGAACGAAATTCCGAACAAAATTTATAAAAACAATTCTTGGGAGGCAAAATTAGATTATTTTTTTTTAAATTACCCTTAAAAAATTTGAAATTAAAAAAGGTTATTACGTTATTTTTCGTATTTGAATTTTTCATATTTTTCATGTCAGGGCCTTTTATAGACGACTTTACTGTATGTGTTTTTTTTTTCATTTTTGAATGTCGTACGGTTGCCTATTATTGCTCACATCCACTTCATTTGAACTTTGGTGGATTTTTCTCTCATTCAGTCATTTGTAATCATACCTTATTGCTTTATTTATATATTGCGTGTTGCAGGGTTATCGTACCAGGAGTTGTTTTTAGGCCTTTTTAAGTTCAAAGCACACAAATTTGCAGCCAAGGTCGATTAACACTAACAAATTCATTTCAATACGAGAGGTCGTCATCGATTCTGACGAGTGCTGAACTCGTAGAGAAAATTGCACAGGACATTAATTGATGCGCTTTTATCTTTAGCATCTACCGACATTTCCAATAAATCTTCGAATGTGGCGTTGACTGAGCAATCTACTACTTTTTAAATAGGTTTTTTCCTTGCCATTATGCCGACACAACACAAACGGTCGACATTCCTTCAATTTATAGAACTGTTCCCGATTATTTAACAATTAACATACAGCATACTTTGCAGCAAGAAGAACAGGGAACCATGCAGTTATTTCTTATTTTTTATTTTTAAATCGTGTCCCGGTGCGTCAATTTTTTTTTTTTTTTTACCTACACTATCTGTCCCTTTATTTATATATATGCTAAACTGTCAAACACTTGCTTCAACATGACATTTGTCATTTCGGGGCCTTTTATAGCTGACTATGCGGTATGGGCTTTGCTCGGTGTTGAAGGCCGTACGGTGACCTATAGTTGTTAATTTCTGTGTTATGTTGTCTCTTGTGGAGAGTTGTATCATTGGCAATCAACTGATCTGATTGCGAATGAGACAATTATCCAACAAAAACCAAAAGACTACTATTTTTCTGTACAAAATTCTTTAAGTGTTTGGACAAAGTCCTTTTATATTTTATATTTTTCACTTATTATTATTTTACAAGATACAAGTATTGAACTGCCGTAAGGGAGGATTCTAGGTAAACATATTTCTATACCTCAGTCAACCCTAGTGATACTTGAGTAGTGTATAAATCAAAGTGATACATACAGCATTGCCTTGTTGTAATTGATTTGTTTGATATTGTCTACTAAGGTCTCACTCGTCAATGCAAGGCTATAAATGGTACGTGCGGGGGAAAAGATTTGACTTGTGATGGCATGTTTGGCACAGGTTGGACATCTTTTGGAAAATGTTGTGGTGAAAGACCTTGCTGCAAATGTAAGTTCCATATGTAATTTTTACGATACAGAATTTGATATTTGTGGCTTGCTCTTTTTTCAACAGCTCTAGATTCGCGTGCACTTTAAGAACACTGTAGTGTAGTTAAAGGATCTTTTTTTTTCTGGCAACGATGACGGCGTCGTTATCAACGACCTCTGTCGTCATACTTGTTTTGCAGTGTGTTCATAATGATCGATAGATTGATTGTTGATGTTTAACATCACTTTCCGCATTATTGGCTATATCGTGGCGGTCATTTTTGATTGGTGGAGAAAACATGAGTACCCGGAGAGAACCACCAATTTTCGACAAGAAAAAAGGAAATCATAGTTAATCAATATCATGATTGAACGAACCTGCCATGCGCAGGTTTATCTCACAACCTCAGTGGTAACAGGCTACATAGGCAACGTTGCTAACGTTGCCTCCTTATCATGTCAAATCCTCTGTTTTTTATACTGCAGCTGTTTGTTCACAGAGAGGTGCGCTGAGATCCCCTTTTGGAAAAAATCTAAGTGTTACAAAATCAAGTTATATTAGCCACTGAAAGAAAAAATATTAAAATTATTTTTTTTTTATTTTTTTTTTTTTTTTTTTTTTTTTTTTTTGTTGACATAACTTCCACATTTATCCCATGGTAGAAAATATTAAGAACATCCAAGTACAACTGAACTATGTACATGGAAAGTGTTGTAAATATAGACAAACAAAGCGTTATATAATAAAGTTTGGTATCTGCATGTGCTTTTTTAAAACCAAACACTATCTGCAAAATACTAATTTTTATTTTCTATCTATTTTTCGGCTCATAATATTAATTTTTTGTTCACATAGATTAAGATAGCATTTCTTTATTTTTTTTTTTTTTAATTTTAATTGAAATCATCTCCATTTGATATTTGTACATTTTCTACCTTTAGATAGGAATGGAAAAAAACGACCTAAGAGCAAATTTAGATAATTTCTTTCGTTCATTGTTTAAACACGACATATTATCTTTTATTGAAATTTATACAAAAGTGTTTGCAATAAATCATTTAAGTGCCTATGGGTGAGTTTTTCCCCCATAAAATATGAAAGATACTTAAATTGTGTTTCCAATTGGTCAAACGGATTGATCTAATAAATCTGAGACAAAGATGACGTGAACTTGAACGTCTGGCCTTTGTTATATTGGTTTTTAAAATCAGGTCTTTACTCTCTAAACCTTTACATGCAGCAAAAGGCAACAATATTTCGAATGTAAACTGTTAACAAGAAGTATTTGTTAATTTGACATATGTTATATTACGTTATTTTTCAAAGTAAGACTTTTGAAAGAACACTCCCGAATTTAAATACAAATCTGCGAATGTTGCAATTACTATTAATACATAATGTTGATCGCAAACACGTGCATATAAAACGAGCATACAAAATTGTCAAAAAATATATTTTGATTTTTAATATTACTATGTTTTTTCTTGAATTTGTGCATACAATTACAGTTCAATGTGACGACATTCAGCCTCAAAAGTTTCCTAATGGTACCGTAATTATAAATGGACAAGAAATTGATGCAACTGCAAACTTTTCATGTGAGAGTGGATTTAGTTTAAATGGAAAAATGGTCATCACATGCACAGAATCTGGGTGGGATGGAGATATTCCGAAATGCATAGGTACGGACAATACTTAAAAACACCAGTTTCTTAAATGTAGATCTTTAATGGCGCGATTAGCCTCTATAACCCTTATCGGTGGCGATGGAAGTTAACGTCCTATCAATAAGGAAGTTAAACTGAATTGAAAATCCCCAAAAAATTAAAAACAAAAGGTAGGCTAAATCTTGCTAAGGCAATCTTTGCCAGGAGTTGTAGCAACTGTAATGTTTCCAAATTTTCAAATATTTTATCAACAGTAAATATACAGAAAATAATCGTATAAAGGATATAACATGGCAACACAGGCGTGCTGTCTACTTAAGATGTGAAACTAACGGAGATGAAACGTTTTAAACAGTTTGATTGATCAAGTTGCGGCTCAAAATCTAGAGTTGGATTTGGCAAAACCTTTCAGAATTTTCCATATTGTTTAAAAACGACATTATATCTTTTATTGAAATTTATACAGAGGTGTTTGCAATAAATCATTTAAGTGTCTATGGGTGAGTTTTTTCCCCCATAAAATATGAAAGATACTTAAATTTTGTCTCTGTTAAATAACAGTGCTATTTTTTTTTTCATTTCAATGGAAATCATTGACCGTCAATTGTTTTAGTACCATTTTTGCATCAGGATAGGTCGTTAAAAACAATTCCTGTATTAGCAATGTTTGTTTTTTGCAAGAGCATTTTTTGCAATTTAGTCGATTATTTGAGCAATCCCGATGAACACCTTTTTTTTTTTGTCACTCATCTGATTGTATAAGAAATATCCTTTATATTCATTACAGATCAATCATCCAATTGGTCAAACGGATTGGTCTAAAAAATCTGAGAAAAAGATGACGTGAACTTGAACGTCTGGCCTTTGTTATATTGGTTGCAAGAAATAATTTATTCGTCTGCATCACATCCACTCATATGTGTTTGATATCATTTTCGGTCACAAAAACACCAGTTTCTAAAATGTAGATCTTGAATGGCGCGATAAGCCTCTATAACCCTTATCGGTTGCGATGGAAGATAACGTCCTATCAATAAGGGAGTTGAAATGAATTGAAAATCCCCAAAAAATTTAAAAAAGGTAGGCTAAATCTTGCTAAGGCAATCTTTGCCTGGAGTTGTAGCAACTGTAATATTTCCAAATATTCAAATATTTTATCAACAGTAAATATACAGAAAATGATCGTATAAAGGATATACCATGGCAACACAGGCGTGCTGTCTACTGAAGATGTGAAACTAACGGCGATGAAACGTTTTAAACAGTTAGATTGATCAAGTTGCGGCTCAAAATCTAGAGTTGGATTTGGCAAAACCTTTCAGAATTTTCCATATTGTTTAAAATCGACATAATATCTTTTATTGAAATTTATACAGAGGTGTTTGCAATAAATCATTTAAGTGTCTATGGGTGAGTTTTTTCCCCCATAAAATATGAAAGATACTTAAATTTTGTTTCTGTTGAATAACAGTGCTATTATTTTTTCATTTCAATGGAAATCATTGACCGTCAATTGTTTTAGTACCATTTTTGCATCAGGATAGGTCGTTAAAACAATTCCGGTATTAGCAATGTTTGATTGTTCAAGAGCATTTTTTGCAATTTAGTAGATTATTTTAGCAATCCCGATGAACACCTTTTTATTTTTTTTAGGTCACTCATTTGATTGTATGAAAAATAACCTTTATATTCATTTACAGATCAATCATCCAATTGGTCAAACGGATTGGTCTAAAAAATCTGAGAAAAAGATGACGTGAACTTGAACGTCTGGCCCTTGTTATATTGGTTGCAAGAAATAATTTATTCGTGTGCATCACATTCACTCATATGTGTTTGATATTACTTTACGGACACAAAGCTACGACATTTTTAAAATCAGGTCTTTACTCTCTAAACCTTTACATGCAGCAAAAGGCAACAATATTTCGAATGTAAATTGTTAACAAGAAGTATATGTTGATTTGACATATGTTATATTACGTTATTTTTCAAAGTAAGATTTTTGAAAGATCACTCCCACATTTAAATACAAATCTGCGAATGTTGCAATTACTATTCATACATAATGTTGATTGTAAACACGTGCATATGAAACGAGCATACAAAATTGTCCCAAAAAATATTTAGATATTAAATATTACTATGTTTTTTCTTGAATTTGTGAATACAATTACAGTTCAATGTGACGACATTCAGCCTCAAAAGTTTCCTAATGGTACCGTTATTATAACTGGACAAGAAATTGGTGCAACTGCAAACTTTTCATGTGAGAGTGGATTTAGTTTAAATGGAAAAATGGTCATCACATGCACAGAATCTGGGTGGGATGGAGATATTCCGAAATGCGTAGGTACGGACAATACTTAAAAACACCAGTTTCTTAAATGTAGATCTTTAATGGCGCGATTAGCCTCTATAACCCTTATCGGTGGCGATGGAAGTTAACGTCCTATCAATAAGGAAGTTAAACTGAATTGAAAATCCCAAAAAAAAAATTTTTAAAAAAGGTAGGCTAAACCTTGCTAAGGCAATCTTTGCCAGGAGTTGTAGCAACTGTAATGTTTCCAAATATTCAAATATTTTATCAATAGTAAATATACAGAAAATGATCGTATAAAGGATATACCATGGCAACACAGGCGTGCTGTCTACTGAAGATGTGAAACTAACGGCGATGAAACGATTTAAACAGTTAGATTGATCAAGTTGCGGCTCAAAATCTAGAGTTGGATTTGGCAAAACCTTTCAGAATTTTCCATATTGTTTAAAATCGACATAATATCTTTTATTGAAATTTATACAGAGGTGTTTGCAATAAATCATTTAAGTGTCTATGGGTGAGTTTTTTCCCCCATAAAATATGAAAGATACTTAAATTTTGTCTCTGTTGAATAACAGTGCTATTATTTTTTCATTTCAATGGAAATCATTGACCGTCAATTGTTTTAGTACCATTTTTGCATCAGGATAGGTCGTTTAAACAATTCCGGTATTAGCAATGTTTGTTTTTTCAAGAGCATGTTTTGCAATTTAGTAGATTATTTTAACAATCCTGATGAAAACCTTTTTTTTTGATCACTTATCTGATTGTATAAGAAATATCATTTACAGATCAATCATCCAATTGGTCAAACGGATTGGTCTAAAAAATCTGAGAAAAAGATTACGTGAACTTGAATGTCTGACCCTTGTTATATTGGTTGCAAGAAATAATTTATTCGTCTGCATCACATCCACTCATATGTGTTTGATATCATTTTACGGTCACAAAGTCACGACATTTTTAAGATCAGGTCTTTACTCTCTAAACCTTTACATGCAGCAAAAGGCAACAATATTTCGAATGTAAATTGTTGTCTAGAAGTATATGTTAGTTTGACATATATTACATTACGTTATTTTTATTCAGTCGAATCGCCCTTTTGTTTTTGTTTATGTAGGTTTTTAAAAATTAAGTTTGATAGGATAACAAAGAGAACTGATTGTTTGAAGATAACAAATGTACTTACCATATTTCACTTTAACAGTAAGATGACCCAGGTATACGCAAGAAAAAAATCAATTCCGGAACAGGCGAAACAACTTTGTTGGTTCACTTCTGTAAACATTTAGCATATTTTGATATATACTTAAGTCAAGGTTTTACCTTCAGCTCGTTTAAATTTAAAGTAATTTGGTTGTCATGATATTTAAAGAAAACAGAAATATGATTGATATTATAAAATAAAAAAAGTCAAAAAGGAAACCAAAATAAGCAAACCTTCCTTCAAAGAAATGAAATTAGTAAAATGATGTTTGGTTTTGATTTAAGCTGTTGAAATGTCAAATAAATGTACACTTAATACGACACACGTCAGAATTAGTTACTGATGTAAGCAAATACGACTGTTTACATATTGGAATATAAGATTTGTAACCAACTGTTTCAAAAAACGTAACGATAGAAGTACGAACAAGGCAGGTGTACTGAAAAGACAAGTTGTTGACCACCAAGCAATGGTTAAAAAAACAAACAAAAAAATACATTAAAAAATACACCTCGTCAATTTTATGAAACGATAATTATATCACTCATAGATATCAATGTGCTAAACAGGATTTCTGGATTATTTGGTTAATAACACAATGCAAATCGTATGATGTTCATTAAGCATTCCATCTTTAAAATTCCGGATTCAGAGAACCTTTGTGCAATCATTGTGGTTTCAAGAAAAGAAAATCACGAGTGAAATAGTGCGGTGAAAGCATAGTAAAAAGGCGATTATTAGTTTTCATTTCACTATATAATACACGGCTAAAACTGGTTTACATAGAAAATAGGAAATATTATTTTATTTTCGTGTTCGAACGGTCGTCAAAAATTCGTACTTATATAAAATTCCAACAAAAAATTAAAATGTCATGCAAAATATTCACTATAAAATTACAATCTTACTTAATTGCCGGAAAGTCGTGTCACGTCTCTGGTTATTCTGAATACTGTTAATATTGTTGATTTTGAATTTCGGGTTCACCACATGTTCGATTAATAATAGCAATCAACAATTGATTTTACCTGTATAAGTTCAAGATTCTTGGTTTCTTTGATTATTTGTGTATCATTCAATGATATACCGAAGGAAAGTTTGGAAATGGTATATCATAAAAGTTGCTACAAATCTTATACAAGTGAACATAATATGGCAGTGTTTACTAAGAGACAAAATAATGTATTAGCGGACTGTTCAAACCAGCAAGGTCAATTCACTAGTATTTTTACTCGATCTGTGTCTTCTCCCAATGATTGGAATGTTTGTTTATTTTGCAATAAAAAAGCTACAAGCAAGAAAAAAAACTTTGAAAATTGAATCAGATGAAATTTTTACTCGCCTTACAAACGCTGCAAACCATTCAAGCATGCTAAATACAACTCATCAAGACAATTTTAAAGAATAAGCTTTTTACCATAACCAGTGCATACTAGAATATCTAATAGGTTTAAAACATGATATTGAGGTCATTGCTAACTCAACTTCAAAATCAGAATCAATACAGCTGACTTTTCTAAACGAGTTACTAAATTAATATAAATGTTGATTTATTAAAAACAAAAAACATTTCTATTATACTCTTTAATTGGGAAGTTTGTTTCATACCTACCCGAAAACATGCACAAAAGCTTTACAACGAGGAAACTGCATGAACACTTAGAAAATCAAAGTAAGTTTTTTGAAAGAACACTCCCAACTTTTAAGACAAATCTGCGAATATTGCAATAATTATTAATACATAATGTTGATCGCAAACACGTGCATATGAAACGAGTATACAAAATCGTCCATATAAATATTTTGATTTCTAATATTACTATGTTTTTTTTTTTATGAATTTGTGAATATAATTACAGTTCAATGTGAAGACATTCAGCCTCAACAGTTTCCTAATGGCACAGTAAGTATAACTGGTCAAGACATTGGTGCAACGGTAAGCTTTTCATGTGATAGTGGATTTGGTTTAAATGGAACAATGGTCATCACATGCACAGACTCTGGGTGGAATGATGATATTCCAAAATGCATAGGTACGGACAATACTTAAAAACACTAGTTTCTAAAATGTAGATCTTCAATCGCGCGATTAGCCTTTACAACCCTTATCGATGGCGATGGAAGTTAACGTCACATCAATAAGGAAGTTGAAATGAATTAAAACTCAAAATAAATTAAAAGGGTAGGCCAAATCTTGCTAAGGCAATCCTTGCCTGGAGTTGTAGAAACTGTAATATTTCAAAATATTCAAATATTATATCAACAGTAAATATACAGAAAAAAGTAAAATAACATAAATACCGAACTCCAAGGAAAATTCAAAAAGGAAAGTCCTTTATCAGATGGCAAAATCAAAAGTTCAAACACATCAAACGAATGGAAAACAACTGTCATATTCCTGACTTGGTACAGGCATTCCCTAATGTATAAAATGGTGGATTAAACCTGGTTTTATAGCTAGCTAAACCTCTCACTTGTATGACAGTTGCATTGAATTCCATTATATTGACTGACAACAATGTGTGAGCAAAACAAACAGACATAATATGTAAAAACGTCAAAAATTGGGGTACAGCAGTCAACATTGGAATATAATCCTAATCACTATGAAAACAAAAATGATCATATCAACGACATAACATTTAAACACATGTGTACTGTCTACTGGAGATGTGAACCGAACGGGGATGTTGCAAACAGTTGAATTGATCTAGTTTAGGCTTAAACTCTAGAGCTGGATTTGGTAAATATTTCAAAATTTCCATCTTCTTGCGTAAACTTCGTTATTTATATATATTATTTTTTATTTAAATTTTTTTTTTGGCCTTTCTAACGTTTTTTATTCGATCGTCAACGATGTGAATTTTGTGGACAAAACGTGCGTCTTGCATACAAAATTTAATATCTGATATTTATTGTAAGTTTAACTTGTACTACAATATTGACATAGATGTATACAATATATATTCGGTTAACTTATCAATGTTTGCAAAACTTCTAGTGGCAAACAATGCATGCTTTTCCGTGACAAGACATATCAAGATGCACCTTTATCTTGTCCTGCAAAAGGGAAAAAACATAAATTCCTAAAAACACAAAACAAAACACCGATTGGATTTCTTAGTTTACAGGAAACTAGATTCAAAATCTCACAATTAATATATAGATAAAAAATCCTAGAATTTCAGTTTAGTGTTGTGCATATCGTATATGCCATATCTTTTAAAAAATACTTTTTCCTTGTTTACCATTATAAGATTTGAGGAGGGATATCATCTATTATATCATGCATATGCACTAAGAAGGGAAGTTACGTTAAAATATATAACTAAAAAAATGTTACTGTAAAATAATATGTGTTTTCATTAATTGTTCAATACACAAATTAGGGCGTTAGTTTTTTCATTTGAATTGTTTTATGTTTGTCATTTCCCAGCCTTGTATAGGTTAGTGTCAACATATTCTATAAATGAATTAGTTATGTATAGTTACAAGAGTAAATAGAAATCCGGCTTCAAAATGAGGATCAACATGCTTTTCACATTTTCGAATGGCCAAAGAGAAGGGGGGAAGAGGATAAGGGAGTTGGAACAATTTCCAAAACGACCCAACTCACAGTAATAAAATTCCCGCCTCTAATTTATAGAACTATCATTGGCTTCTATGAAAGAGACTGATTTAATATTTGGTCTGCATCTGGATCATATTTAGTTGTAGTGAGTAGGCAATTTTTGCATCTGCCGTGTAGCCACTTCCTGTTAGCCGATAGTTTGAAATTTTACAAAACTCATTGTACAAGGAAAATGATCGTAATAGTTTAGATAGCATCAGTGGATCAAGGAAATGACCAGTTATTCTCCAGTATACATATTACTTGAATCAATTGTGTGAAGCGACATAGGTAAGACCCGGTTGTAAGAGGTTTAGCTAGCTGTAAAACCAGGTTAAATCCACCATATTCTACATTAGGAAATGCCTGTACTAAGTCTGGAATATGACAGTTATTTTTCATTCGTTAGATGTGTTTGAGCTTTTGATTTTGCCATTTTATAACGGACTTTCCGTTTTGAATTTCCCTTAGAGTTTGGTATTTTTGTTGTTTTTCTTTTTGGTCTTGTTAACATGAAAATTACTTAGCATCAGTGAAAGGAAATGACCAGTTATTACCCGAATCAATTGCATGAAGCAACGCAGGTCCAGACCCGGTAATATAATTTGTATGTAATATATGTAAAGTCCTTTATTTCTTTTAATGTAAATTATGAAATTATAATCAAACAAAAGACGGAAGAATAATTAATATACATTGTGAATGTCGAAGTGTCTTTCCCTAAATTCACTCTAAATTTAAAGCCCGGCGTGCATTTTTTCCTGTAAGCATCTTTGCATTTGTACAATTTGTGTTTCTGCAACTACATTAAATATTTCTGATATTGACTACATTATTTTTCTTACGAAGAACACTGAAAAGGCAATTCTTTTTGGAAGATGGTGGTATTTTGGGTAACCATATGAGTTGTTGTGGTTGGCTGTTTGATTAGCAAGAAGCGTGATTGCAGTTGTTTGATAATATCAAAAACTACCTTAGCTCTAAATAAAATATGTTATATGGTTTTATTGTGATTAACAATTGAATCACAGACACAAATTTGGTTTTTCACTGGAATTTCTTTAAAAAGGCATTATTTATGAAAAATATATATACTTTTTATACAGAAAACAGTCGAAGAGCTATATAACCAAAAGAACATAAAAAAAAAGCCAAATCCATGTAAGGTGAACTTTGCCTGAAGAAGTTGAAACCTTAGTTTTTTATCTTCGCTAGCCAGGTGTTACGATCCACTTCCCTCCTCTCCACCCTTGGCGGATTGAGATAGAATTTCGGAGACACAAGGTAATGATTTTCATTGCTTGCAGTCGAAACTCGCTGCATCCAATCAAAAAGCGCCTATAACATGATCACGTGTAAATGTAGAAAGTGTATGTAAACAATTGCCACGTGCTTAGACGCTACCGTGTTTTTACCTCCAAATTGAAGAGTTCAAGTGCTACCATTGGTCACGAATAATGTATGTATTCAGAATGGGCGTGACTTTAATCTACCGATAGATGGCGCAACATTGTTATCACAAATGTTGGCTTAATCTGCCAAGGGTGGAGAGGAGGTAAGTGGATCTTAACCCTTGGCTAGCGAAGATGAGTTTCTTTATGATTTCAAAAATTTATAAACGGACAATTTTAAAAAGGTTTGTTATGAATCATGTCAGTACCGAAGTACTGACTATTGAGCTGATGATACCCCTGGGGACAGATAGTCCAGCAGCAGCGGTATCGACCCAGTGCTGTAAAAAAATGAAAACAACACGTTATAAATTTCATGCGTCCGAAGCGCTTTTCTGGATTTACCTTTATCAGGAACGCCCAAAGCCGAATATTTGAAAACCAAGGAATTATCAAATCCAAAGCAACTTAAGAGCTATATAATCAAAAGGACCTAAAAATAGCCAAATCCATCTAAGGTTAACTTTGCCTGAGGGAGTTATAACCTTAGTTTCTTTATAATTTCAAAAATTTATAAACGGAGAATTTTAGAAAGGTTTGTTATAAATCATGTCAGTACCGCAGTACTGACTACTGAGCTGATGATACCCCTGGGGACAGATAGTCTAGCAGCAGCGGTATCGACCTAGTGCTATATAAAATTGAAAACAATACGTTATGAATTGCATGCATCCGAAGCGCTTTTCTGGATCTACCTTAATCAGGAACGCTCAAAGTCGAATATTTGAATATTTGTAAAATACGAAAATGTTCGTCCTTGGCTTTTCTTCGTGATTTGACGGAAATTACGTGAATACTTTTAGTAAAGCTCAAAGTTAGAATAACTATGTAATTGCTTAAATGAAAAAGATGGTACAATGCACAAATTTAAATTAAATGTTTTAATGTATTATATTAGAGTATGTCTCATATTACGAATGTACATGAAACACAGATTATATCGGAAAATAAAAATAAAGCTTTTAATGTGTATATACATTGTGTATGTAAATGTATCATTCTGACGAAGACCATTTATTGTTCTAGGTCAAGGTTCATTAATTTTGCATATATGCTTTTATTGTAATAAATTACAATTATTTGTTTCACCAGATTGAAATTATTTATTGTCTGTTCATGTCTTGTCGCTTTAGATCCTTGTGATTCAAACAATTGTGCACCCAGAGGTTTGATATGCAGGCCATTGGGATTAATGTATGTTTGTGTTGTTGATTTTGAAGGAAAGTTTCTTATTCCCGGGTTGTTAAGGTAACTGATGTTAGTTGAGTATGGTTAATATATATAAATATACATATCCTTGGAAGAACATAATGTTTACATGAATTCTAATTATTCTGTACTAATCGACGTACATGACTTGTACTTTTTATGTTGCTTAACATCCAGTGGTATATATATAGTCTAGGTGGCCGAGTGGTCTAGAGCGCTGGACTCAGTGCAGGCGGTGTTGTCTCGATATCCCAATAGCATGAGTTCGAATCCCGGCGAAGGAAGAACAAAAGTTTGCTTCCGCAAATTTGCAGATTTAACATTGTTGTGCTGATATTTAGAGTAATTATATATATATATATATATATATATATATACAAGTCTAAATTGAAAACAACGTTCAAACCTATGATTGCGTTGGATAAAAACCGCAATTTTTATACGTGTGCATGTAAAACAAATTTTTTTGTAGAGGGGTCTAAAAACTGCACAAACAACATTTTCCAAAGGACCAAAAAGTGAAAAAGTATATTTTAACAAAACGCATTTGACTAACAGGTCGAACAACTGATGTTCTTTAAACCATGCTGACTGCCATTGGCGATTGCCAAATAAATTTATCACTAGTTTTAACGAAATGGATCTTAATATTAATTTAATACCAAACAGAGAACAATAAACTTGCGGAAAAGATTGCATACCACAAACATGAGGTGCATATATATATATATATATAGATCATGTATGTTCAGGACGAGAAAAAATCAACAATAAATACAATATGTACTCCTTAAATAGAGGACGTTCGGTATGAAGGGCAGGGAAATTTGTACTGCGAGTTGAAACAGTGAGAATATAGGATAGGGACACAAATTTTGCAACAGAACACCATTGGACCCCAAATAGAGTTGTTGCAAGAGTTCATCGCATGTTGAACGCGTGGCAATAAATGAGGCATGGGATTGAACGTTCCCAGTCTGACCGGACGTCGCTGCGTGCTTGTACATCCCGCACAGCATAACAGACTTCAAACTTTATAAGTGTTTTACTGCCGGTTTGAAGTAGACAACAGTGACTTCATTAATTTATTTTGTCTTTGTGTATATATTTTTTATTTCTCTTCTTGTTTGACTTTTTTTTTTTAATAAAAAGTGTTAAAAGTGTTTGATTATATTAATTATGAAATTACAAATCAAATAATAAGAAAAGTCGAGAGATTTTCTTGTTCAGGCTGGCAGTAACAATGCGTATTGAAACATCAAAGTGTTGGCCCTTTTAATTACTACCAGAGAAACAAATCTATACATAAGAAAAACATACATTTTGTTGATTTTATATGTATTTATATATCAGAAAATATTGTCAGTATTTGTTGCACTTAAAATATATCAAATTACAGAATAACGATAGTAACTGGTTCTTTACAATATTAAAAGAAAATTCAAATTTAGTCATTTAAAATTGATAACAGACCGACACTGATACATGATAGACGTTACAGACTGCAATCAGATAAAAAGTAACATCGGCAAATCTCTAAATACATGCTAAGATTTGTTGGAACAAAAAATGCAATAACCTTTGTTTAAAAGAAAATAGTAAATATCCAATGTTATTTTTTTCTTTTTTTGTTAGGCATTTGTAAACTCATTGACCCATTGTTTTAAATACATTTTTTCCTGTTGCAGGTTGCGAAATGAGAATGAGAGTTAATTATTTCAAGGCAAAACAGAGTGAAGTTATATTCAAAGGGTTGAAAAAAGAATACATCACGATGTGAACATAAAATAAAGAATACAAATATTACATTCCTTTTATATTTTAAAACAACCACCGTATATCGACAATGGCTACTTTCGTGATATATATATTTTCTTCTCGAATTTCTTTTGACCTTCCAACAGGCCACCTACAAACCCTCTCATAGACTTTTTACAATGGTTCTTAACATGCAAAGAGTGTGGCACTTTCTTTACACGAGGCATCGAATCTAATGTTCCCTATCTGACCAGACGTGGTTGTGTACTTACATCACACACAGCCAAACGGATTCCCCATTGGAGTAAGGGTTTTACTGTCGGTCGGAAGAAGGTAAACACATTTCTATTCCTTAGGGATACTTGTTTCTTAACAACAAAAGAACATAAAAAGAAAAGCTGAATATATTTAAAGCCAACTTTGACTGAAGAAGTTAGAACAACGGATAATTAAAAAAAAAGGTACCAAGAACTAGCTTTTAATAACTACTTCTGTTACAAATTAGTAGTCTTGGATCGGCATCTTGTCTATTGTGTCATTTTGTTTTCGACATATTGAAATTGCAATATCAAACCTAAAATGGACATTTTAAATCTATCGAGTCCAAATGAAGATGATTTGAGCAACGAAAGGTTATTGTTCGGACTTCAACAATGAGCAAATCCGTATAGTTGCTATCTAATGACCCGACATAACAAAATGTAAAACAATTAAACAAACAATTTATGACAAATCAGTAAGTGCAAGATAAGTTCCTTCCATTCCATTACCAATCATCTTACCATTATATAGAGGAGAAGAAATGGCAAAACCATCCAGAACAGACAATACGTTAAGTGACGCCCTTAAAAACAAGAAATTACCAAATTGCAATATGTTTCGGAATTGTGATTGACTCATTAAAGAATATTTTAAGATAATTACCTAAGACTTATATTCTGTGGTATTGCATTATGAACGTTTATCATGTTTATAAGAGAACATTACATATTTTTTTCTAAATAATCTGTATTTTTGTTTGGCTGACAACAATTTCGAGGCATTCTCAAATCCGATTTTTTTTTATTTTATTAATTCAAAAAATGCAGCATTCATATGAAAACAAACCAAAAGCTTGTTATATATCGTTATGGTTGTAGCAATTAATTTAATTAGAATGAGTCTTTTTTGTTTGTAATTCTAGCAGGGTTGTAAAATTTTAAACCAACATTCAATTCTTAAGTTAAATAAAACCTTGACTTTTCAGTTCCTTTTTTCCCCTAATGTGACCTACCGAATTATCACCGGGTTTGTACTAGCATGAGTAACACGACTGGTGACACATGTGGAGCAGGATCTGCTTATCCTTCCGGAGCACCTGAGATCACTCCCAGTTACTGTTGGGGTTCGTGTTGTTCAGTCTTTGGTTTTCTATATTGCGTTTTGTGTACTGTACTGTTGTTTGTCTGTCTGTTTTTCTTATTTAGCCATCGCGGTGTCAGTTTATTTTTGACTTATGAGTTTGAATGTCCCTTTGGTATCCTTCGCTTCTCCTTTTCATATGAATTTCTAGTCCGAATAATTATGAAGTCTTGAAAGACTACAATGATTTCTTTAATGTGACGCTTTCCTACGTTATAAAATTGAAATAGTGTTTCATAATTATTTGGACTTTGAAATTCCGTCTCATCATTGAAAAAAAGGACACTGGCAATTAATAAACCCTCTTTCTAGAAGGTTTTGAAGGTCTAATTAAAGTTGCTGCTATTTATTTTAAAATCAAAGATATTATTGAACCTCTGGAAGGCCGTTTAAGATGAAGGTCGGGAATTTTTGACTGCCACTGGAAAATGAGTGTAATTGAATAGGGACAGAAATTTCGCCTGGCAACAGACACGTCAGAGAGTGTTTCAAGAATTCTTACAGGGCAGACAGCGTGACACTCTCTGTACACAAGGCATCGAATTTAACGTCCAAATTCTGATCGGACGTGGCTGCGAACTTATACAGTGGAGATCACATCTAACCTCTCATCAAATCTGTCAGAATCTGTCAGGAGAACTGTTCTAGGACAGTATGTAGAACTGTCATCCTGACACCTTGTAGACAGTTATAGCTAGAACAGTTCTATCCTAGAACTGATTTGGTCAGTTCTACCTAGAACTGATTTAGACAGTTCTACCTAGAACTGATCCTGACAGTTCTACCCTAGAATAGTTTTAGACAGTTCTACGACTAGAACAGTTCTACGGCTAGAACAGTTCTACGACTAGAACAGTTCTACGATTAGAACTGATTTGGTCAGTTCTACGGCTAGAATTGATTCATACAACAGTTTTAAGAACTCTTTGTCTTAAATATAAATAAGTCAAAAGAATATAATGTATATTAAAAAATTGCAGTGACGTCATTTAGAACTGTTCTAAAATCCTGACAGGTTTGGTCAGTTCTACGGCTAGAACAGTTTTAGACAGTTCTGCTGACAGTTCTACGGTTAGAACTGATTTAGTCAGTTCTGATGACAGTTCTACGGTTAGAACTGATTTGGTCAGTTCTGCTGACAGTTCTACGACTAGAACCGATTTGGACAGTTCTACCCTAGAACTGATCCTGACAGTTCTACCTAGAACTGATTTGGTCAGTTCTACCTAGAACTGATTCTGACAGTTCTACCTAGAACAGTTTTAGGGTAGAACTGTTCTAGGTAGAACTGTTCTAGGACAGTTTAGAACAGTTCTATGACAGATTATTGTGACAGTTCTAATGAGAGGTTAGAAGTGATCTCCACTGTACATCCCGCACTTGCAAACTGACGCCTTACTGTGGTATGGGTTTTCTGCCGGTTGGAAGAACACCAACTTGACTATGTTTTTATTCACCAGTCATCCTTGAGGAGATATTTTATTGAAATCCATCAACTAGCTTAGAATATTGATGCTTTCCCTATATTTACAATGAAACCGTTAAAAATATAGTAGATGTACACAATGGCGCTGTGTGATAAAGATTACTTGAAAGTTTTACAGACATACAATGTAGGCGGAGTTACGGAAAGGAGATGCCTATGTCCTATAATAACAATTAAAAAATGTATATGGAATGACAAAGTCTGTGATTTTTTATGGAAAACCCCATGGATTGTTTTGATCAAACGTAGAAGACACACGACATCTAGATGCAATTATAAATTTCCCATGTAAATTTCAGTGCTTTTTTTTCTCTGGGTTTGAAGGAGTTTTTGCAGTCAGAGATTGACGTAAACAAGGACAAACATAATGCAGTTTTTAAAAATGAAACAAAAGGGCTTTCAAGATACTAAAAGTATAAAGCAAAATCAATTATTTACAAACAAAATTTAACAATAAGATAACGTGATCAAAACTAAAATCTTTTTTGAATAATGCAATTTGTTTATATTTTGGAATACAATTGTTTGAACTGGAGTAATATTGAATAAACATACAAATTATTTGCATTAACATTTTTGTATCCAAATATCTGAAAAATCAATACATTCAGTTAAAACATGTTTAATGATATAATTGCCCCTATTTAGGTAAATGTGCTTCGCGGTGTTGTAGACGTGAATAGTTTATTCAAAGCTTAAGACATTTGAGTAACTCAAATAATACTTGTTGATGAACAACATAATATTAAAAATAAATAATGCATTCTTATGCTTTGTATATTAGTCAAGTGTACATATACTACATTTGTCAAAGTATTTTCCTTTTTTTTTTATTATAAACATATAAGTATGAAATTGATTGATATTGAAAAGCTCGATAGTATTGGAACAAGATTAAATTTGTGAATTTTATTTTCTTATTATTTGTGGCCTCAAACGCAAATAAAGTATCTATGAACAAAAACAAAAACACATATCTATATATTTATTTGAATACTAGGTATATCAAATTTTGCATGCGTAAGTGCGACTTTTAACACTAATTAAGTATAATTTGAAGATAAAGAAATATATACATTTATTACAAGTCTATATACATTGTGTAAGGTTTGAAGGTTTGTTGAATATTATGTAAAATAATTAAGAAATCGTGCATATGATAAGTTCCGTAAAGATTGATAGAGTGGGCCGCTCTTGGTTTTATTTTATTATACTAAAGGGACATAATTTAATATTGGTCAAAATGATGATCACGTGAAAGATACAATGTCAGTAATAATAAGAATCTAAGGACTATCATGCCTTTCAATCCTTATCATTCATTTTACAATAGAACTCTTTTATTTATGAGTAGTAAACTTTAATACCAGTTCAGTTTGAGCTTGAACTTTTGAGATTTTAAAAGAGGGTCAGTTGGGCATACAGTTTTTATAGTGTTCATTGTTGTGCTATTTTTAATTAATTAAAAATATATAATTGGCGACTGGAGATTAAAGAAATAGACTTTATACTGTTCGAATTATTTCGGTTTTTTACTTTTAGCTAATGATACAACTTGTTATGAATTTTATAACACAACAATGCATTTTGATTGGTTCCTTTATAGACTTGTGATTTAAATGAATTAAAGTTTTTCATTCTGCCGTTGATAGCCGAAAACTAATGTGGTGTTTTCTGTTAGAAGCTCATCCTGTGAGGCATGGCAACTACATTTGATTTATCTGAACTTTGAAACTTTTGTAACTTTATTTTTCGTAAGTACTTATTTTGTAGGTAAATTTTCCTTTTTTAATTTTTATCAAGTCATTTGTTGCAAGAATTTATTATATTTTCAAGTTGCCGTGTCTTACACAGGAGGCTTATCATGCCTGTAACCCGAAATAAAGCAAGAAAAAATTATAAATTAATAAGTGAATTTGGTTTTGGTCATGAGGACGTACTCGATGTGTCGGACCCGACATCTGATATTTTTGATCATGAGACTACACCTGACGATGAAGTAGATAGGTTGGAACATCGAATCCATAATTTAGAAGTAAGCATTTCCGAAAAAGAAAGAAAGCTTGAAAAAGCCGATTTTGAAAAACAGGGGGCAATTC